GTGGCGTGGCGTGGGCGCCGCGGGCGTCGGGCGCCCTCACAGTTTGCTTGGGACGTGAGCTTGGGACTGAGTCATACTTTAGAGAAACTACCAAACTACCACTGTCATACTTTTTCAAACTAACACCACTAATATTGTTATCGTCTATATATATAATAATAATGATAATGTATTTTGTGGATATGGATATATATTTCTATATATATAATTATTAGGCGCAGAGCGGCGACCTTTTTGAACATGTGTATATATTTTTTTATTATTTGATTTTAATTTTCTTTCATTATATATAATTTATTTTGTTATTGATTTCCAACCCACTTAACCCCTTTTTGAAGTGAAGGAGAGAGAGAAAGAAAGAAAGAAAGAAGGAAGGAATAGAGAAAAGAGATCGCTTGGCTGTGTCTTTTACATGTTCATTTTTATTTATTTGTTTATTTACTTGTGGTCCCCCCCCCTTCCCCTCCCCCCTCCCCCCCTCCCGTGTTCCTCTCCCTTATTTTCTAGAACCTCATTAATTGTCGTTTCAAACATCTTTTCTTGTATTTCGTATGAATTTGCACAAAATTGAAATGCAATTTGAAGAATTCCAATGTGACAAAAAAAAAAAGTTAAGTTTAGTTTCTTTGATTATTTAGTTTTGTTATTTTTTTTCTGTTCAAGCAATAAGCTGGATTTGAAAGAAAAATTAAAGATTAGACCATGAGATTAATTATAGAGCAATTGGTGGCCCATTTTAAAAATTAATTGAAGGAAGGAAAATTGCCCTTACCACAGAAAGAAGAAAATATTGAAGAAAAGACAAAAAAAAAAAAAAGTAATTCTCTCCATAACTTTTTTCCCCTCCCCCTTCCCCCCTCCCCTCCCCCCTCCCCCTCCGCCGCCTTCTCCCTCCCCCCTTTCTCCCCCTCGCTTACCACCTTCCCTCCCCCCCCTTCCCCCCCTCCGCAAAGCCGCCAAAGATCGGCCCGATTTTTTTTGTTTTTTTATTTACGATTAAAAAGACTTTATTTCAAGAGAAAGCAAATCCTGTTTGAACAAGTGGCAACACAAGTGATACAAAAGAAATGACATGAGAAAGAAAAAATAAAAATCTGTGTTTTTTGATAATAATAACTTGTAGAATAATTTACTAAAGTTTCATTTCTAGATTTGTTGTTATTGTTGTTGTTATTATTTCTTAATTTACATATTGTTTTTTAGAGAAGAATGGGTCCCTGTTATACTTTTGGTGGTTATGTAAAGCCTGTTCAAAGAGATAACCACATATGCCAAAAACTAACCAAGAACAACCAATATTTTTCTTTTCTTTATTTGACTGTCAAAGAATAAAGAGAGAAAAAGAGAAAAAGAAGAGAGAAAAAAAAGAGAACAGAGAAGAGTTTTCTTAACGTTTATTCTTATGATTATTATAACTTATGTTGCATGTTATGTTTACCTCCTAGTCGAGTTTTTTCTCTTATTTTTGTTTGTAATTGTTTTTTACAACATTAATTTTTTCTTTTTTGTAAGTATTCCTTTTTTTTTCATTCTTTTTTTTGTGTATCAGTGCATGCCATTCTTTTGTTTTTGACCTTACTTTAGTCTGATGGTGGTTGTGACTGCAGGGTTCCCACTTCCAGGACGCCTGCGGGAGCTGCACGCAGGGGTCGAGATCCTCAAATGGCTTCCGGGGATGATGATCCTGACCCAAGGCACGGGCACTGACTCACACATAGTAATCGGGGGGCACTACTACGATAGGGCCAGGGGGCGGGCAGGGAGGGCATCGCGTCGCGGGGTGGGGAGAGGGAGGAGAGAGTAAGAGGGAGAGAGAGTAAGAGAGGAGAAGAGAGGAGAGAGAGAGAGAGACCGAGACAGAGACAGACAGACGAGGAGGGAAGGGCAGGCAGGTAGGTAGGTTTTGGCGTAGGCTGGACAGGTAGGAAGGAAAGGAAAGGAGGTGGATAGGTCGCCGTGGAAGACTGGTAGGCTGTTATATTATTTTCCGCTTTTCTTCTTTTTGTTTTCTATTTTTGGTAATAGGGTAAAGAAAACGGTAGGATAAGGATAAGGATATGGATTCCGTGTGGCAAAGCGAGTGTTCAGGTAGGGATAGGAGGACCTCTGCGCCAGAGCATTGGCGGACTATGTGGCTGTAGGCGTCTGGGGGAACTTCCGCCAGACAGTCGCTCTGGAGAGACCCGGAAAGAGCATAGATGTGACAGGTGAAGAGGCGTCTTGTCAAGGGAGGGGAATGGGCGGGGATTCCAGCGGAGGCTGAGCCGCAGTTGAGAGAGAGAGAGAGAGAGAGAGAGAGAGAGAGAGAGAGAGAGAGAGAGAGAGAGAGAGAGAGAGAGAGAGAGAGAGAGAGAGAGAGAGAGAGAGCCAGGCCTCATTGTCAGATTGCCGAGCGGAAGCAGGTGACACGGGCGTGGGCGGGCGGAAAGTGATGGCGTCTGGGGTTGGGTCCCCAGCGTGTGGTGAAGGCGAGGGATACCAAGAGCAGCCTCATGTTTTG